CAAGCGTCGGCAACTCAGAGATGCTGCCATTGGTAAGTTTCTGGTTTTGCTTTGATACAACTTGGAGGCCAGCGTCACTGGCACACAGATTCTTGATGCGTGCCAAATGACCAGTAACAACATCATGCCCATGAGATTGTCGATGCTGTTTTGGGGGTGGAGTCCCTGGCGACCTTAATCAAGAGGGCCAACGCCCGCTTGGCTTCTGTGTGATGAGTTACATGTGAGGGCAAGACAGACTCAAACCCCTTTTTCAGGAAGCTGTGGTGTGGGAATACTTCCAGTATCTTAAGTCTTTTGGTGCCCCTGCAGCAAAAGCTGATACCATGGTGTCGTTATTGAACTTTGCCGTTCATATCCTTGGTTTTCCGTGCCTGTCAGGTGCTTTGTCGAACAGGCGCCTTGTGGGTATCTGTGAGCTGATGCTTGCAGGTAAGAGGCTCCTCAAGCAAGCATTGGCTCTCACCGTTCACCAGGTCACTGCTTTACATGCCCTCCTGGAGAGTGTGAACAGACGCATCATTGGTAGGGCGCTGGTGGCCTACATTCTTCTTATGTTGTTTGGTCGTTGCAGGAACAGTGATCTTTTGGCCACCCACTCATTGACCCCTGATTTCAGTGTTGATTGCGGCTACGTGATCACCACCACATGTAACCAAGAATCTGGCGGGATTACATCCCTCAAAACAAGACTCCTTCCGATTGTTGTGCCTGTGAGGGGATTGGATGGCAGTATTTGACCATCAAAGGCGTTAGCAATCAATTCCGCGGCTGGGTGCCCTACCAGGTCTTTCAACGAGAGACCTATTTTGCCGCACCCGCAAATGGCTTTGGAGATTTCTTGCAGAGGGGTTTGAGGTTCTCAGAAGTTTCAAAGATCTTCGAACTTTTCTAGGCATTGAGAGTTTGAGTAAAAACGGCACTGATGAGGTTGTCTCAAGTCACAGCCTCAAGGCAACCATGTTGGCTTGGGCAGCTAGGTTGGGCTATCCCCCCAGACCAGGTCACTTTTAGGCAGGCTCACATCTTGCCTCAGCTTGACTTTCGCCATTTATTCAAGAGACCTGGCCTGCGCCCCAGTTGCAGAATTGCAGAAGATAATGGATGCAATCCATAATGGAACCTTTCTTCGGATGGTGAGAGATCAACGTTTTTCAAACCTCGAACTCCTGTGCCTCACCAAGAAAGCCTGGTTGTTGTGAAGAAGGAGGCTGTCACAGATGATGGTTTTATTTTCATTTCCAATGCTGAGTGCAATGATCCATTGATGTGAGTGAACATTTCAGCAATGTGGGCGTCCCCACAGCAGATGATGGCGATGCCTCGATCGATGGTGACTCAGACTCGGACTCCAGCAGCAGTGGGCCTAGCTCCTCAGCTAGTTCAGATGCAGTTGTCATGCAACCACGGGTGAAGCTTTTCAGGGCGAAGATACTTGATCATGAGAGCTGGTACGTTCATGCAAAGTCAACTTTAGTCCACAGGTCCAATTGGGATGAACACAATGGTGTCAAGTTTCTTGTGTGTGGCAAACGTTTGACTGCAGCATACGGTCCTTGCACTGAAGTTACTGCATGGAACACCTTGTTCAAGTCATGCAATTGAAAATGACGTGACCAAAACCGGTCGCATGGCAGATGATGCGTTAAAATAAAGTGGCGCCTTTTGGTTGCAGCCACATTGTGGTTTCAGTGGACATGTCTCCACCGTTGTGCTCTCTTTTTATGCAATGGAGGGTGAGCTCCTTGATGGCAAACCGCCATGGTGAATTGGTTCAAGATGGGCATGCATTTGAGCATGCATGAAATACGATGGTTCTTCATTTCCGACAAGTCAGCCGGAATCAACCAAGTGTTCTTTATCGTTCATGTTTGGATGGTTTGATTTTACCACGCCATTAGGTACGCCAGCTCATCCTGCCTTCACTCCACTGCCATGGCGTCCATAGTCGATTCAGAGGCTCAATTTGACCTCAGACTGGATCAGGTTAAGGTCCCGGAGCATTTGCAGAGGGCACTAAAAATCGCCGGAGTGAGCACCATTTCAGCTCTGGCATATGCACACGGTCAACCAGGCCAACCTATTGTTGCAGCTGAATTTGAAACCTGGGTCAGGCAACTTGACCCATCTGCCACGGTGGGCGGTGTTGCGGCCTTGAAAAGGCTCTTGTTTGAAAGCCAGACCCAGTTATTGGCGATCTTGAAGGAGCAGGTCATGAACCCTGAGCCTACGGTGGCTAGAAAAGTGCCGCCTGCAGAACGGGAGACAAGGTTGGTGAACCTCAAGGCACGGTTGGTTGGTGTCCTAGTTGAGGGTCATTCAGAACCTAGCCACTCACTTTTGGATGCTGCAACTCAGCTGTACGACCAAAATGTTTTGAAGTTCATCCCATTGGAGAAATGCTACAGTCGACTGACGGAGCTCTCCTTCACCAATAAGCCTCAGTCAAAACTGCTCGAGGTGGAGTCGTCCAAGGTGGTCATTCGTGACAAGGATGCTGAATTTGAATCGAGTGTGCAATCATCCTATCAAGCGTTGGAAGCATTCAAGCGTATAGGGGCTTGGCGCTTGATTTTGCAAATGTGATGTCGTTCACGAACCATGATAAGTATGTCCAGCTCCTCTTTGCCCACCTCAATAGAGAGCCACCTTCAGGTTACAACAGATGCAGTGTGTCTCAACTGCTCGCCGCGGACAAAGCAGCTTGGTGCACGTTGATTGAAAAGAATGTGAAACCCAGACCTGACGCAACCGGCGTCTTGGCTCTTGACTCAAAGCTTGAAGAGGCGCTCACATCATATGAGGTTAGCTTCACCCTCTTGCCGATGATTGCGAAGCCTGCTCCAAAAGCTACGCCCGTGCAGCCAGCTCCTGTAACGAGACCACAGAACGCCTTCCCATCGAAGGGGGGAAAAAAGGGACAAAACAGGTTCCGTCCCTACGTAAAGGGTAAGGGAAAATCCAAGACCAAGTCTGACGTCAGGATTCCCAGTGAAATCCGAGCTGCAGGAGGAACCGCCTCGACACCTGATGGCGACCCAATCTGTTTTGACTATTCACTCAAGAAGTGCAAGGAAACAGTTACAGATGGCCGCTGTCGCAAGGGCTACCACCTGTGTTGCATTTGTTATGGTCCCCATTGCATGCTGGACCATAAGAAGAGTTGATTATATGACGTCAATACACATAAAAGAAAGTTTCACCAGTGTCCAGATCAGCCTTCCGAACAGTCAGGTTTGCAGAGGCCGACAAGGAAAATTTTTTCAGACAGCAATCAAGCCCAAGCTGCTTCTCACCAAAGGTGTTCAGTGTCACCTCACCCTGATGATGGTCAGGGCAATTCATGCAATTTTTCTCATGCTCCACGTTAGCACATCGATCACATGCAGACATAAAACCGCCTGCCTCTTAAGCTAACTCATTTGAGAGATTACTTCATTCTTGAGATTTGCGCAGGTACAGCAAGGGTTACATCATGCCCTCAAAGCCTAGTACTCGCAAACTCCTTTGGCGTCGACCATCAAAGGCTTAAAAATAGCAGAGCTAGGGACATACCCGTAACATTGCCGAGTGGTCTTCAAGTAGCTGGTTCCCAACCATTTTGGTCTGATTCCATGCCGGATGGTTTACCATACATGAGTTACCTTCATCGTTGCAGAGTGAAGTCCGCAAATGCTTTGTACAATTTTGCTACGCAGATTGCCCAATATACATTGCACATAATTTGCCGTTCATTGAAAACCCACGGTCATCCTTGTACCGGCGCACTTCATTCTTTTCACCACTCCGACAGCTGCTGCAGTTCCCTGCCATCAAGCATGTGCCTATGGGTCCGACAGACCGAATTGGACAATCCTTGCACATAACAACAGTACCACCCTGGCTGGTGTCTGTACAACTTAGCACAAACCTTGAGGTGTTGCTGTCGATGCCAACAACAAAAGAAAATTCCCCACCACTAGGTGTCCGCGTCCCGGTTGCCATGTCCTACCTTCCAGCCCAAGTCGGTCTGTCCTTGTCCCAGACATTTGAAGCAGTGCCAGCCGGCTCTAGTTTGCGGTCAACTTGTTGATAGCTCCTTATTTCTGGTGTTGGTGAGAGAACTTGTTCTCGTGCTGCTGGTTGCCCTTCCTTGTTGCTGTCTCCTCCTGCTGGCTGGTGGATCACTCGAAGTAACAAGTCAATCTTGGAACCTGAACACTCAGTTGTAAATGTTTTCAACAGTGTACAGTTCAACAGTCATTTGCAGTTGTGCTTTACAATGCGGTTCAACTTGGTGAAGATCATGTTGGAACATTCAATGCTTGGCAACATTGGCTCCTAGGGACGGGTGGCGGGTAGCCTCTTACTTTTTTGGTAGAGGTTGCATGTCAACTTGTTTGGTTGCATGTTTTGTTTTCTTTTTTGTGACCACAACAGTGCCAATGAATTGTGTTTCAGAGGTTGTCAGTTTTGTTTACTCACTCAGATTGCCGCGGCGCTGTGCGCGTCTGCTTGGGTGCAAGGGAGCGGGGCCGCGTTGCCGCCAACAGCCCTTTGGCGCTCCGACCTGTGCCTGTGAGCTCAGCTACGGTGCGAGCTCGAGATTGCGGTTTTTTCTGGAGTGGGTTCATTTTTGCATTCAGCTTGATTTCCTGGATTCTGTCTGGCATTGTGCATGTGGATCAGCCTGGAGCGATTTGCAGAGTGTAATCGTCAGGAACATTTCATTATCCATTTCCCTGGCTGGTTTGAACTTCAGACTTTGATTTTGGCTCATTTGACTCCAGCGGAATCGCATCTCTACTTGAGGACTTGCATATTTTTGATTGTGGAGACAAAGGATTTGACTTTGACGGCCACTGCTGTGCGGATTCATTACTCAGGGTCAGGTTTTTCTGTACCAACCCCACCTGTGCAGCCTGCGCTGCAGTTAGCCGGTCAAGAAGGGGGAGTTTAGGACCAAGCGTTTTCATCTGATTTTGAGTCCAGTGGCAGTGCAGAGAGTGAAGCCATCAGTCATGCCGTGGAGAGCCAACACTCTGACTAAATTTGCTGTAGGGAAATCTGACGATGCTATCAGTGACTCTGACCAGGGTTTTGAACATGTTGGCCTGGAACCCAGTGCTGTGAAGCCTGGTCAGTTGCATGGAGCTGGAACCTCAGAGGATGGCCTTTTTGGAGTTTTTGCGGAAAATGTGCATGAGACAGGGCGCAATGTGTTTCAATTGGAGGAGCCTGGTCTTGTTAAAGGTCGCTGCTCACCGAGAAAAGGAGCGTTGGACCTCAAGGCAAAACTGGTGCCGAGGGGTCCTACACTCAATGAGGCAAGCTTTGAACAGCACTTATCTCATGCATTTCTCAGCACTAGAGGCCAGATTAAGGTTGTCATGCCATGGGAAAAAGGAGTTTCCAAAAAGATCTTCAAGAAACAGCCAGAAGATCAGTTGCAGAACCTTTTCAAGCAGCCTCGTCATTGGGTGGGGCTGGATGCAGTGCCTGAAGTGGAAACGAGTGAAGAGCTGTCGTCGGCTACTGGCAGTCGGCACCAACTGGTCGGGGCCTTTTATGAGCATGCATTGTCATCAGTTTCTGATCAGTCCTTCTTGCAACAGCGTCAAAGCATTTTGGAAACTGCGGTAGAGAAATGGTTCTGCATCATTAGAGTCAACATGCTTGCCTCTTCAATTGGGCATGACATCATTGGTTTGGGCAGCATGGAGGAGCAGAGAAAAGGTGCATTTCAAATCATAGAAGCGGTGATAGGCGTCAGATCCAGAACCACTGCAATCACAAGGGCCAACGCCTTGCTCAAGTTCTTGCGGTGGAGAGCTGACAACTCAGACAGTGATGGTAAAGATTTTTCAGAGATAGAGGCATGGACCTATTTGATTCATTTGAGAGAGAGCAGCGCCGCGCCCACAAGGGCTACAAGTTTTCTGTCGGCTTGTGCCTATGCATTGCACGTATTTGGATTCTTGGGACTGGAAGCCATCTGCTCCAGCAGGAGGCTCAAAGGTTTGGCGGAGTTGATGCACGCTACAAAGGCTCCTCTGAAACAGGCCTTGGTTTTGACAGTTAGCCAAGTGATGTTCCTTCATGACAAGTTGGCTGCACAATCGTGCAACCATGTGGATAGAGCGATAGTGGCATATTTGTTGATTGCCCTTTATGGCCGTTGTCGCCATAGTGATCTGCAGAATGTCGAGGATGTCATTCTCGACTTTGGCCCTGAGGGTGGGTTCATGGAAATAACAACCAAAACCCACAAGACAGCACGAACGGTGGCGCAGAAAACCAAGTTGCTGCCAGTGGTGATCCCGGCGGTTGGCATCAATGGCAGAGAATGGATTTCAGAGGCAAAGGGTGCCCTGGAAGAGTATGGCCTGAAGTTGGAAGGCCACATTGGAGGCCCGTTGTTCAGACCCCCAGGGTCATCGGGTGAGCCTCATTGCAAGAGAGGAATCACATCGGCAGAGGTCACCCGCTTCCTGCGCCTCATGCTTGAAGATGAGGCATCAGTCCAGAAGGATACAAGGGTGTCGTCTCACTCCTTGAAAGCCACGGTTTTGTCGTGGTGTTCAAAGGCTTGCATGGAAGCTTCAGACAGAGCGGTCTTAGGAAGACATGCAAGCGCTTATGGAGAGTCGAGTGCAGTCTACGCTCGAGACCTTGCAATTGGTGCTGTGTTTAAGTTGCAGGAGGTGCTGAAAAAGATCCATGGAGGAGAGTTTTGCCCTGATGCAGCCAGGTCAGGGTACTTCCCGTTGCAAGCCCAGACCTGTGAGGTCGAATTGCCGCTTGAAAGTGATGTGGTCAAAGTCGAAGAGGAACAGACTGAAGAGGAGCGGGCAACTGCTGCCCCCGACAAGGAACAATTGCCTGATGAAGAACAATTTGATGGCTCCTCTGGCAGTTCGGAGTCGATGGAAGGCTCCGATTCAGAGGATGAGGTGGTGGAGCCCACCCCCAAGTGTTTTAGACACTTCGCTGTTGGTCCTCTCTCAGGCGATTTGTGATGCACGATGTTTCGAAGCTGGTCCATTATGCAGACCCAAGTTTTGTGGACGGTCGAGGAGCCAGGATGATTTCATGTGGCAGATCGTTGAACCAGAACTATAAATACATCACTCAATTTGACTCAGTTGATGTATGCAAAAGATGCAAAAGCAACGCTGTCAAAGACGGCGCATTACCGAAAGCACTTGCGTAGGGAGAAAAAGTGGCATGGAAGGGTCTTTCGGTCCTAGCTGCATGGCAGTTAAGAACATGTTGTGACCTTGTCCAAGATATACAAGGCAAGTGCTTGAAGGAATCTCAATTGCTTTTGGGAACTTGGGTTGCGTGGCACCCTGTCAATGGCATGCTTTGGAGCGTGGCTCATAAGCACTGCATGGAAGAGAGTATCAGCACGGCATTTGGATTGTTTTATCCTCATGTGATGCATGATCATAATAGTTGAGTTATAGTACCAAATCAGAACTGTCCAATTCAATGAACTGGAAGGCAGGCAAAAAGGCAGGAAGTCTACCAGGTCGTTTCACAGTGTGCTGTTGCATCATTTTAGAAAAGCAATCTTTTCTTTTTAGGAGGGATTGTAGTCGCGCCAACGCATTGGCAATGGCAAGTTTACTGGATTCAGAAGCTCAGTTTGTCCAGCGCACCATCGATTTGAGGCTGTCAGATGAATTGAAGCGAAGCTTGAGCAGAGCTGGTTTGCAAACATTTGGAACGTTTGCCTATGCACATGGGCAGCCTGGACAGAATATTGCAGATGAAAGCTTTGAAGCATGGGTTACAAATCAACTGATGACGGGAGCCACAATAGCAGATGTTGCTGGTGCCAAACGTCTCCTATTTGAGAGTCAAACCATGGTCTTAGCATCCTTACAGGATCAGGTCAACGCTACTGACCCCTCTTCCATCAAGAAGGTGCCTGTGGCGGAGCGTGAAACCAAGATGCGGGCAATCAAGAACAGACTGACCGGCCTCCTGATAGAAGGGCCGCTTGAACCTGGTCATGCACTCCTTGACACTACAGCAAGTATGATGCAACTCAATGAAATCAAATACATTCCTCCTGAAAAATGTATTTCGAGGACCCATGAAGTTTTGAATCAAAAGTCGGCAACGAAACAGTTGGATATCTCAGCAGAGAGTTTGATTGTGAAGGAAAAGCAGGATACCCCCGACATGACAGTCACTTCGGCGCTTCAAGTGCAAGAAGCCTTTCAGCGTCGCGGCATAGCGCTGGTGTTCGCCGACCTCATCACCCATGAGAGCTACACCAGGTACCTTACCACTCTTTTTGGACATTTGCATAGGGACCCACCTGCAGGATATGCAAGGACCAATGTGAGCCAGCTTGTGAATGCTGACAAAGCTGTATGGCAGATGTTATTGGAGGAGGGTGTACGGCCCAAAAGGGATGAGACGGGGGTACTTGCTTTGGATTCAAAGTTGTTGGAGAGTCTCCAGAGCTATCGTGTGTCTTTTTCCTTGCTGCCGATGATTGCCAAGAAAGACAGCACCCCGAGCCCATCCAAAACCACAAAACCTTCTGTGAGCCATGGTGGAAAGGGTGCAAACTTGTCCGTGCAAAAACCCTGGATCAAGTCGAAAGGTGGCAAAAAAGGTGGCAAGGGAAAAGTTCGAGTGCCGAACCACATTTTCAAGCTGGGTGGCACTGCGTCGAACCCAGCTGGAGAAGCGATTTGCTTTGGGTTCAATAGCAGTTCAGGATGTTCAGAAGCAGCTGATGGAGCGAAATGCAGACGTGGCCTCCATATCTGTGCAAAGTGCTATGGAACGCATGGAATCCAGAAGCACGAGCCCAATTGACTAAATGAGCAGCAGGCCAACGGTGAAATCCTTGCGAGTAATCCATCGAACCGATGTGTCAAGGGCCCAGACAATTTTTCCAGTGACAATTTTTTAGTATCCGTTGCTTCCAGTGATTCATGCAGAAAGCGTGTTGAAGATGGCAACTTAATTCAGCAGAAAACCAATTACACTTTAGCGATGACTGTTAGTGATGTTGGTGCCAGTTTTGATTACATTTGTGCAAACCCAGCCAGCAGCATTGATGCAGCCTGCATCGTCGAAACCCAAGCACATCGAGAAGAGCCTTCAGTTGGGAACCCAGCAGACTTGGATGGTTTAGTAGACCAAAACCTGTGTTCCAATGTCAGTTCAATGCAAACTTCAGTTGCAGACGGTTTTGCATTTAACAAGGAACAGTTGACATGTCCGGTTGTCATTGAAATTTTTTGTGGCAGTGCCAGACTTACAGCCAGCCTCAAAGAGGTTGGGATAAGGGACGCATTTGGCGTAGATCACAAGCTTGACAAAGCTGTTGCAACGGCGAAACGTTTGGACCTTACTGTAGAGTCAGAGCAACGAGTGCTTTTGCAGTGGCTAGCATCACCGTTGGTCGTTGGAATCTTTCTGGCGCCTCCCTGCGGCACCTGTTCACTGGCTAGAAACATCAAGTTGCGTGATGCCACAGGGAAAATCATACCCGGCCCCAAGCCTCTGAGATCAGCTGAATGGCCGGAAGGTTTACCGGGTTTGGGGCCACGTGACAAAGAGCGAGTGTCAGCTGCAAACAAACTTTATGACTTTCTGGCGATACTGGTTGATTTAGCACATGACAAAGGTTTGTTGGTTGTGGTTGAAAACCCCAGATCCTCCATCTTTTGGCTTACGAGATTTTGGAAGAAAATCAAGGCGCCCTTACAATATTCGGCGCATCAAGCATGCGCTTATGGTGGAGAGAGACCCAAGTGGACGGTTTTGGCTTGGAACCATCCAGCTTTTTCATCTATTTCCCTTTGCTGTCCAGGTGAATCAGATGTGCACAGCCACAAACCTTGGGGCTTAGTACAATCAGAGTCAGGTTTTCATTTTTCTACAAGTGAAGAGACGGCGTACCCTAGAGGACTTGCTCACGCCATCGCGAGAGTGTTCGCATCCATTTTGTCAGTGCATGGGTGGAAACCTCCTCTTGAACAAATGCAAGAACAGCCTGACGTGTCCTTGCGCTCCATGAGAGCCATCGCAACTGCACAGCCAAAGGCATCGAAAATGCCGCCAGTAGTCAGAGAGCACAAAAGCGTGGTACTGATCACGGGGCCTTTTACTGCACTTGCAACAGCACCAGTAGAGTGCATGCAGAGGTTGAAACAAAATTGGAATATTCCACCATCTTGTCAAGCGAATGTAGATCGCTTACCTCCTGGTGCCCAGTTGTTGCGTACCACGCCATTGCGGTCAAATGGGGGTTTGTTACAGACCAAGCAGTCAGGAGTTGGTGTCTTCGAGCAGGCGTGGGGCATTCCATTTAGTCCAGATGAATTTATACAGGAAGCATTGGAGCGAGGGCATCCCAAATCTTTTTCTAGGCTGGTACCCCGAGTGTTACAAACTGCCATCGAAAACAACTTTAGCAAGGACGCATTGCACTCCTTACCTTTAAGTAGGATTCAATGGTTCACAAAATGGACTGAAAGGGCCAAACAACTTCAGCAGCGAGATAGGGAGATCAAGAATGCACTTCCAGACCATGCAGCCAAGATTTTGGAAGCAAAGCGTTTGGCTTTGTTCAAGGAAATTTTGGAAGACCTTGAGTATCCCGATTTGGGTGTGTTTGATGAGCTAGTCAACGGAACTGACCTTGTGGGGGAAGTAAAGCCTTTTGGAATTTTTGAAAAATCATTCAAGCCAGCGGAGAGAACAGTACAGCAGCTGAGAGAAGCAAGCAAGTCAGAACGAATGCTCAATTTCTTCAAGTGCTCTTCATCAGGAGACAAAGAAATCGATGACATTGTTTACAGCAAAACATTGGAGGAAGTTGAGTTTGGTTGGGCCACAGGGCCACTGCGGTTGGAAGACTTGCCTGGAGACGCAGTGATCAGCAGAAGATTCGGCCTTCGACAGCCAGGCAAGATCAGACTCATAGATGATCTTAGTGCCAGCGGAATTAACCAAACGGTGCAAACAGCGGAATCACCCAAACCACATTCTGCAGATTTCATAGCAGCCATGCTTTTGGCAGTGCTAAAAGTTAGCGAAGGTTCAAAGCTGATGGGAAGGTCTTTCGATCTAAGTAGGTGCATCATAGGAACTATGAAAACCTTGTCTTTTTGTGCCCGGCGTAGGAACGTAGCGTACAAGGTTGTTCATTTTATAGGTAAACAAAACTTCCTGGTAACAACACCAAACGTCAAACAAACAAAAAAAAAATCTTGACACCCCGTGTCACTGAATTATTTATTTTGTACCGGACTTACCACTCAAGGGTAGAGGTGGGAGGGAGCACAAAATTGTGCAACCATTTCCTTTTTGCATGCATGCGCCGTTCTGCAATTCATAAAGGTCATATTGCCTATCACGTGCCTGTTTTTCTGGGACATCAGACCAAGCAGTTTACATCTTGGACTTCATTTCCCTGTGGGTGCATCGTAGGCCTTATTTCGGCCTTCATTTTGCTGTTTTTGTGGGTGCTTCAAGCGTGACGCTTTTCCAGATTTCCTGTGCTTGTTTTCCGGGGGAGAAGACCCAAGTAGTATGCCCTGGAGATCAAATGTGGGAGAGCGGTATGGAAGTGGTGAAAACACAGTCGAGGCCTCACTGGGAGAGCAGACTTCGCCAGGTGGGAGCTCGAATGCGGCAGGCTCCAACACTGTTACGCATGGATGGGATGACAGTCTGGCAGAACCAGCACAAGCGGGTTTCTTAGAATCTGGACAGCATGAATCCCCTCTTTTTGGAACAGATGATGCTTTGGAGTTTGGATCGGAAGTGCCGTCGGCAACTCACTATGACGGTGAGACTGCAACTGCATTTGAACTGCCTAGGAAGAGGCCCCTTGACGATACAATTGTACAACAACCTGTGGGTGTCGACAGTCACTTGTTTTTCAACATGGTGAATTTGAAGAAGCCTCAAGAGGCTTTGAAACAACCTTGGGAGAGAGGTGTCATGGCCCAGATTTGTGGTACTTCACAGCCAAAGCTGCCAATGCCCTGGCTCACGTTGCCAAGTGTGGGCCGTAGAGACAGTTTGATTGGCTCGACTCCCTTGGAAGAGCCACCTGAGAAGAAAGCTCTACGAACACCATTTCATTTTAGGCGTCTGTTGACAACCCGACTGGCTCAAACAGATGACCAGCTCAGAGCGAAGGCGTTACGACGCTTACGAGACCTGATTTTGGTTGCGCCTGACCAGTCTAGGCTGGGGAGAGCTTTGCTGGACGTATCTGGACAGCTTACTGGAGAGGATCGCATTTCCAGCACTTTTGCAGATGCTTTTCGAAGCCGTGCAACATCAACACTGGTGAAGCGGTCCATGGACTATTATAAGCTGGCCGTCTGGATGGACCGGCAACTGGACCTCCGGCCAATGCAGGTGTCTGAGAATGTCATTTATCAGTACCTTTCATTTTTGAGAGAATCAGGATCAGCCCCGACCTTAGCAGATGCGACGGTGAAAGCAGTATGGTTCATGCACTCCACAGCAGGTCTCATTGACTTTCATGCTGACATGTTTTCATCCAGAATTACAGGAGTCTGCAGAGACATGTTCATGCGGAAAAGGATCTTGAAGCAGGCTCCTGCCTTTCCTGCGCGTGTGGTCCGAGCCCTGGAGGAGTATGCACTTCAAACCAGGAGTGCTGTAGATTCCAGATTTGTCAATTTCATCCTCTTTTGCATTTTCTCTAGCTGCCGTGTGGGGGATGCTTCGAAGATTAAAGAGGTGACTTTTTCTCAATTCCAGGAAGTGTATCTTGTGGAGGCTGCCACAACGGAAGCCAAGAACACTGCAACGATGGAACGTAGGAGAATGTTGTTGCCCTTCACTGCAGTAGGTTGGGGGGTGTACCCAAACCCATGGAGCATCAAATGGAAGATGCAGCTCGAGTCAGAGAAGTATGCAACAATCATGCCAGCGTTTTCTGAAGTGTCAGGCCGTTTCCTGGACAGGCGCTTAACAACGGCAGAGGCAAACATGTGGCTCAAAGAGATCCTCATGCGTGTTGGCCTTACGTTGTCGGAAGCTTGCAAGTATAGCACACACTCATGCAAAGCAACCATTCCAACTTGGGCTGGAAAATTTGGTGGTTTTTCGATTGACGAGAGACGGATGCTGACTCATCACATGGATGCGGGGTCTATGATGCCGTTGACTTACTCGAGAGACAACCTCACTGCCTTGCATTCCAGAGTTTTTCGCATGCTCACAGCAATCAGAAATTTTGAGTTTGATCCAGATGCCCCGAATGCTGCCAGGATCTTCAAAGACAATGCAGACTTGTTTGAGGTTCCCGAGGAGGTAGTGGAGCCTCCCTGCGACTGGGCTGCCTCTGAGTCAGATTTGTCTGGAGATGAGAGTTTGCACGAAGAAGCGCATTTCATGAGAGACCATCAGACACAGGCCAGTGAGGTTTGTGGTGATAGACTCCTCCACAAAGAGTCCATGGTCGTTCATGCTCTGAGAGATCAACAGACCTTATGGTGCGGCCGTAAGAAGTCAGCTAACTACCGAGAGTGGCAGATCGGCGACCCAGACTGGGAGCAGCTGCTGGTTTGCCAACAGTGCGACAAGTCCAAGCCTTAGAGAAAAGAGGAATGCAGCTGGCCAAGTTGGATAAGTTCGCAAAGTCCAAAGAGGTCAACAAGTTTCTCTTTTACTATAACACCTGTCTTGCGTTTCCATACATGTGGTTTTGATCTTGCCATATGTATTTGATTCAGATTGACAGCAGACACCCGTCCAATTTGTTTCAATTGCAAATAAGTTTGAGGCGGCCCATGAAAGTCGCAATCCAAACTCTTGCGCATAGCTTGAAACTGTGATTCAAGTGTGCCTCAAAGAGCATACAACCATGAAAAGTTGAGGTGAGTATCTCACAGTCCAACTTCACATGGAATCAATTGCCCAAACATGCCACGCAGTTTGAGGCGACTCTTGTCGTAATCCAAACACTTGTGAGCAGTTGCAATTGTCAATCGGTCTTTATGCCAACATCATCAACGTTCAGAGCTTAGGACAGCGTTTGTGCACTCTCATTTTGTTTTGAGTTTAGGCGCTGAAACAACTTGTGCAGAGCTTGACAATTTTTTTTCACATGAACATACTTTTCATAAGGGTTTTGCAATTTCACGTCACTTAGTGTGTCCTGACCCTCCTCGCGGCAATGGTGTCTTTGGAATCCAAAGCTGCCTGGGAGTCACGGGCAAGAGCAATTGGGGTGCCAGATGGTTTCATTTCAGAACTGCAAGACGGTGGTTTGAACACATTTGGGCAATGGGCTTTCTGCTGTGCGTCTGATCCTAGCAGCGCAGATGACACCCCAGTCAAAGAAGCAGTCCAGACCCTGATTGGAAGAGATGTGACTCCTCAGGAGATGATTTACTGTCGCAAACTCTTCTTTGAGGGTAAGACCTACGCAGTATCAGATATGCAAGCTCGAATTGACCGTAGTGCTGATGACAAACCTCGGGTGATGCCTCTTGCTGAAAGAATGGCACGCATTGAAAGACAAAAATCAACACTGATTGGAGTTACCTGGACAGCAGAGTTGGAGCCAGCTCACAAGCTGGTTGACAAGATCTTGACCATGAAGGAAGATGGCACTTTGGTTTTTATTCCACCACAGAAGTGCATCAGCCGTATCCAGGAGATCCAACAAGAAAAGCATGAAGTTGCTTTGACATTTGACGCTGTTGGAAATGTCAAGATGGGCAAGCGTGCTGAGGAGTTGAAGTGTGATACCAGTGGAGAATTGAACCTTAGAAATGCCTGGACACGAAGAAACTTAGCATTCGATCAAGCTGGTTTAGCAAGCTTTGTGGTACTGGAAAAATGGGCGACGAAACTGATGCTAGCAAAGCTCAAAGAACCACCTTCTGGCTACAGGTATGTTTCAACCCAGCAGATTTGCGAATGTGACAAGGAGTTTTGGATGTTGCTCTCCCAGCGGAGTCGGGGGAGCTTACACTCTCTTCATCCAGATGTTTACCCTTTGGACAATTTGATCGAGCAATTAACAACGTCCCCAGAAGTGCTGTGCTTCTTGTCTCCACTGCCTGGCCAAAAACGTGAAGCCCAGGAGCCACCGGCAGCACCGGCTCCCAAAAAGACCAAGCCGGCAGCAGAAGGAAGTGGAGGTTCCCCAAAGGCGCCGGCAACACCTTCCGGTACCAATTGGAGAAAGCTTCCTCAAGGTTGTCAACGTAAAGGACAGAATGGATGGCGTTGCCTTAAATATCAGTGGGGCCTTTGCAACAAGCAGAAGGAGAACAAATGCAAGTTCGGCATTCATGAGTGCTTCAAGTGCGGAGCCAAGCGACCATACAACCAATGTGAACACTGACAAAGGTCCACTGAAGACCAGCCACACGACTCACGTCAAGCGTCTTTCGTGGAATTTTTCTCTGGTTCAGGTAGTTTATCTCATACCTTGAGACAAGTGGGCTGCAATGTCTTCCCAGTGGACCACAGTTCAAATAGATTTACACCAAAGGTGCCGACTTTCACCATCGACTTAGGCAACTCTGATGAAATCAAAGTTGCAGAACAGTTGCTGCGTTTCACGATGCCCAAGGCAGTCCATTTTGGCTTGATGTGCGGCACTTGCTCACGTGCTCGGGTACGCTCCTTAGCACCATCACTACGTCGACAAGGGGCTCCTGAACCGGCCCCACTTCGAGATGAGCTGCATTTGTTGGGGAAGCCCAATTTGAGGCCCCATGATAAAATCAAGGTCGAAAAAGCCAATCAAATTTACTCCAATGCCATTGTTTTGTTGCAAATTTGTTTTGAACTGGACTGCATAGTTTCAATAGAAAATCCAGCCCGCAGCTGGCTTTGGCCCCTACTTGCAATGCTGGTCAAGGAGACAGGCCGGGCTGACTTCATCCGGTGGTATTTTTCTTTGGTTAGCACCATGTTTGATGCGTACATGCATGGCTCGACACGTGATAAAAGCACCACAATCCTTGGCTCCCCTGGCGTTTTCGAATCTTTGGGTATCAGATATGACAAATCTCATTCACATCAAGCTTGGTCAGCCACCAAAACAATACACCAGGGATGGGTCTTTGACACTGCGGCAGAAGCTGAATATCCAGCTCTCCTTAGCCGACGCATCGCAGCATGCATAGTGCGCCAAATACCACAGCAGTGCCTCGACGTCCAGCGCAACAACTTGCGTATGACCAGTTTGCAAGTGCAAGGGCGACAACACAAGTCGTTGAAACAACTGATTCCAGATTTTGCCTCATTTTTCTGGGCAAAACTTCCATATGCACCAGCGAAAAATGAGAAATGTTTGCCACCCAAAACTGCGGGGGAAGAAAACGAGGTGGACAGTCAATGCAAGGAAGAACAGAACTCAGATGGGATGATCAAAGTGGGAGTCTTTTTGGAACCGGCCGATCATCTGGAACTGGCGCTACAACTCAAACACCCTATGGACACCACAGCAAGGTTGCCAGACCTCCTCAGAAAGGCGATCTTTAAAATGCTCACTACAGAGCCCTCGGACCTTGCCAAAGAAAGACTGGAGATGTTGAAGCTTTACAGGCGGCGTGCAGAGGAGCTGCAGCAAGCCGAGGATGAGCTACACGATTCGCTGCCGGATCATGTTAAAGAAGTAGTTCAAGGGAAGCGCATTTTGTTGTTAGAAGAAAGGCTGAAGACTACCGAATTCCCTGACTTGCAAGTGGTCGAGGATTTCAAACACGGAGTGGACCTAGTGGGGGAGGAACCACCATCCCCACTTTTCCTGGAGAAGTTACAACCTGCTTCTATGACTGTGGAGCAATTGGAAATGACTGCGGCAATGAATAGGGGTTTGGCTATGTCAAGGCCATTAACTGAGCATGAACAGCCACATGCAAATAGATTGGTCGAGCTCTCACAAGAAGAAGTTGAGGAGCGGTTTTTGTCGGGCCCTTATTTCTCTGAAGACGAGGTCTCTCAGAAGCTTGGAACAATGGCTTGGACCCTCACCAAAAGGTTTTTGTTGCTGCAAGGTGAAGACTTGAAGGAGAGGGTCATAGACGATTATCGTCGAAGTCTGGTCAATGCAGCATTTGCGTCAAGATCTTACTTGGAGTTGCAGGACGTGGACGTATTGGCGGCTATGATTACAATGGTCATGCAACTGGTTGCTGAGGGCCCTTACGTTTCAGTGAAACTCAGCAATGGGACGGTCCTTGAGGGGACGCTTTCTCGATCAGTGAGATCGGGGGAAAGTTTGGTTGGCCGCTGTTTCGACTTGTCCAAGGCTTACAAACAAATTGCGGTCAGCAAGAGCAGTTTACAACACGCAGTGTTGGGCGCACGCAATGCGGAGGGTAAGTGGCACCTCTACACCAGCCAATCCCTTCCATTTGGATCCATTGCATCTGTTTACGCTTTTAATAAGTCAGCGAGGGCACTGCAGCATTTGCTTCTGGAAGATTTCCACATCACGACCACAAATTATTTTGATGACTTTCCTACAGTAGACCTGGAAGTTTCTGGAGAGATCACCACGGGAATTGTCTCCCAAGTGTTTCAAATTTTGGGCTGGAAGCATGCGGTGGCCGGAAAGAAAGCCAAGCCTTTCTCCAAGACGTTTGGCGCTTTGGGAGTGGAATACAACTTGGAAAAGATACATAAGGGCCACTTTACAGTGGGAAACAAACAAGTGAGACTGGAAAGAATTGGTCGCATGATCAGCCAGGTAGCGACAGAAGGGAAAGTGCTTCAGTCAACGGCAGCTTCAATACATGGATTGCTAAATTTCGCTTCTGGTTTTACTTTGGGGAAATCACTACAGATGGCGGCTCATGGGTTCTCGCTCCTTGCCTCGGGGTTCACTCTGCCAGCGGAATCTCTAAAGGACCTCTGCAACCATTCACTGATAATTTTGAAAACTTTGCAGCCGAGAAACATCGAGTTGCCCATAAATTTTTCACCTGTGATAATTTATACCGACGGCGCGTTCGATGCAGAGAGGGCAACCTGGGGCGCCATCGTGGTGGATACCCTGACTTCGACAAGGCTCTGCTTCGCAGGGGCCGTGCCAATGTTTCTTTTGGATGCTTGGAAAACCTTGGTGGGGGATCAATTGATATGCCAAATTGAAATGTTTGCAGTGCTTTGTATCAGATGGAAAATGAGGCATTTACTGAAGGGACGTCGCTTGCTCCTGTTCATCGACAATGAACCCTGCAGGTACGCCCTAATCAAAGGGCGTTCAGCATCCGACCCTTTGTTTCGGATGTCCCATGCCTGTGCTTGTATGGAGGCAGCCATACCTTGCTTCATCTGGTACGAAAGGATACCATCCTATTCAAACCCTGCAGACCTCCCATCGAGACAAAGGGCCCATGAGGCCTGTCACCTTTGGAATCTCCAATTTGCAGGCGACATTGTGTTGCCACCAGAGCTCATGACAGCGATAGTCGACGGCGTTTCATTTCCAGAAGTCGCTTGGGTGGAATCGGACCTAACATGGATCATTTCACAACAGGGGAAGGCAAAGGATGACAGATAGTTAACACCGAGGTTTCAAACGAAACAATCCGGTGGATATCAACTTGAAAAGCTGAGGCCTTTGAAAAGGCGATCCAGCAACAGTCAGTCCGATTGCCAGATGATTCATCCCCCGACCAGCAGCGAAAAAGAAAGAGACCGTCCGACTCAGTGTGCATCACACTTCACTGCATCAGTGTTTCAAACTATTTAATTTTTAACCTGTTTAAGTTTTAAGTTTACGCGTGCGTAGTTTAGGACGTTTGGTGTAACCTGGAGGTGTTACCTTCTAAACAACCTTGAGGGCTCAAAAGACGTAGGTGCATCATAGGAACTATGAAAACCTTGTCTTTTTGTGCCCGGCGTAGGAACGTAGCGTACAAGGTTGTTCATTTTATAGGTAAACAAAACTTCCTGGCAACAACACCAAACGTCAAACAAAAAAAAAAATCTTGACACCCCGTGTCACTGAATTATTTATTTTGTACCGGACTTACCACTCAAGGGTAGAGGTGGGAGGGAGCACAAAATTGTGCAACCATTTCCTTTTTGCACCCACCCATTCCTTTCAGTCATCCCCACCCCCAAAAAGGATGACAGATAGTTAACACCGAGGTTTCAAACGAAACAATCCGGTGGATATCAACTTGAAAAGCTGAGGCCTTTGAAAAGGCGATCCAGCAACAGTCAGTCCGATTGCCAGATGATTCATCCCCCGACCAGCAGCGAAAAAGAAAGAGACCGTCCGACTCAGTGTGCATCACACTTCACTGCATCAGTGTTTCAAACTATTTAATTTTTAACCTGTTTAAGTTTTAAGTTTACGCGTGCGTAGTTTAGGACGTTTGGTGTAACCTGGAGGTGTTACCTTCTAAACAACCTTGAGGGCTCAAAAGACAAAGCGCGTATAAGCAACTCGCTATCTCACCAAATTCGTTGTCATTTGCGTTTGTAGCAGTCTACAACCCTGACAAAGCCAGAGCAGAGGTGTATCAATTGCTTGCAGCACCTTTCGGTGCAACCAGAAGTGTGTATTCATTTTTGAGGCTGTCGAATGCAGTTTGGTACATTGGCGTCAAAGCCCTCAACCTCATATGGAGATGCTTCTTCGATGACTATGTGGTCTTCAGCCGTGATGAGCATGTAAACAATGCGGAGCAGTCCGTATCTCTTTTGTTTAAACTGCTTGGGTGGAAATTTGCTGAAGAAGGGGACAAGGCGGATACCTTTTGTAGAGAATTTGGTGCGCTTGGCATTCGCATCATTCTGGATGAAGCGGACAAAGGACTGGTCAAATTTACAAACGCTGAGAAAAGATCCACAGAGTTGATCAGCACAATAAACACCTTTTTGTGCAAAGGCAACATGACGGTTTTGGAGGCGCAAAAGCTCAGGGGACGCATGCAATTCATGGATGGTCAGTTGTTCGGACGTTTGGGAAAGTTGTGTATGAGAGAGGTCACCAATCATGCGTGTGACCCGAAAACTTCGAAATTGAGTGCGAGGACATACGATGCATTGCAACGGTTCATCATCTTCTTGGAGCATGCAGAGCCACGACGCATACATCTGAGCACTGACGATGTTTGGCATATCTATACTGATGCATGTTATGAACCAACTTCGTGCGACTGGAAATGCGGTCTGGGAGGTGTCCTAGTAGGACCCAATGGAAAACAAGTCGCTTACTTTTCGGTACCTTTGAGCGATGAACAGATGGGGCTTTTGGGATCTGAATCGAAGAAGACAATAATCTTCGAAGCGGAGCTTTTGGCATTGGTACTCGCTTTTTCAGTTTGGCGTGAGTACATTGCAGCCTTCTCTCTGATTTGTTTTGTAGATAATAACTCGGCGAGAGATGTCGCCATTTCTGGAAATGGTAGGAACATCACTGCAAATTGTTTGATCGAATTTTTGCTGAAATTGGAAATGTCATGTTGCACAACACCCTGGTATGCAAGGATTCCCACACCTTCAAACATTGCAGACGAACCCTCTAGAGGGGAAATACAGAATTTCATAAAATTCAACGTGCCTGGTACGTCTGTCCAAGACGGTTTGCACGAAATCATGTTAGCTCTGGCAGAGAACACGGTTATGAGGGGATCCTTACACTGAATTGCACATACAAATTGGGAGCACCACTTGAGAGTTTTTCTTGCCAGCGATTTATTTGATTGCTGGATCTGGTGGCAACAACCTTGGAGCGACAGGTCGACGTTTCATACTTGCACAGCCCGTTGTCACTGGTGTAAGAAAAAGGAGCGAGTGAGTTCAGAAGCTTCATTCAATTTTTTCACCGTGCAAGTCATTTGAGTTGCAAGAAATTTCATTTGAAGCATCAAATGATGCCAAGGGTTCTTTGTGTTTTCTTTAAGGGTTCGTGGTGACCATCAGCCTTAACTTCATGGGGTTCGTTCGCGTAGGGTAACTAGCAGCCACCAATACCAGAAATAAGTTTGCGGTCAACTTGTTGATAGCTCCTTATTTCTGGTGTTGGTGAGAGAACTTGTTCTCGTGCTGCTGGTTGCCCTTCCTTGTTGCTGTCTCCTCCTGCTGGCTGGTGGATCACTCGAAGTAACAAGTCAATCTTGGAACCTGAACACTCAGTTGCAAATGTTTTTAACAGTGTACAGTTCAACAGTCATTTGCAGTTGTGCTTTACAATGCGGTTCAACTTGGTGAAGATCATGTTGGAACATTCAATGCTTGGCAACATTGGCTCCTAGGGACGGGTGGCGGGTAGCCTCTTACTTTTTTGGTAGAGGTTGCCCCACCCAACCCTCCCTTTGATGCTCCACTCCTGCTGACGACTGAGTGGACTCTTTCAATTATCCAACTTTGCTACAGTCCTTCCACTGCATTGCAGATACAAATTGGACGCACCACTTGAGCTTTTCTCTTGCCAGCGATTTATTTGATTGCTGGGGGGATCCTTACACTGAATTGCACATACAAATTGGGAGCACCACTTGAGAGTTTTTCTTGCCAGCGATGTATTTGATTGCTGGATCTGGTGGCAACAACCTTGGAGCGACAGGTCGACGTTTCATACTTGCACAGCCCGTTGTCACTGGTGTAAGAAAAAGGAGCGAGTGAGTTCAGAAGCTTCATTCAATTTTTTCACCGTGCAAGTCATTTGAGTTGCAAGAAATTTCATTTGAAGCATCAAATGATGCCAAGGGTTCTTTGTGTTTTCTTTAAGGGTTCGTGGTGACCATCAGCCTTAACTTCATGGGGTTCGTTCGCGTAGGGTAACTAGCAGCCACCAATACCAGAAATAAAGCTTCTTAAACGCCCTCCTTAGCGGTTAAATGGGGGTAGTACTGGGGGTAACCAAGTTGTCCCAAATAACCCGAGTATCCATAACAAGGAGGATAATGTGACTCATGTGGTCCACTTTGGTGTTTATTGCTCTTGTGACGAGTTTGTAGATGCTGCGGTGAAGGCTGGGCATCCAGTGTCCAGAGCTAACTGCCTCCCACAGGTTCTGCAGGAAGCGGTGAATGCCACTTCAACTAAGTCCTTATTCCAGTTGGCCAAAGGATGTCTTGCAACTTTGTCGCACTGGCTTGATAGGGCAAGGGTTTTGAGCTCTAGCGAAAAAGAATTATATAACAGTCTCCGGGAAGCACTCGGCCGCAGCAAAAAAAATAAATTACATGACAGCCTCCGGGAAGCACTTGGCCGCATCCTCGCCCCAAAGAGATTGCTCCTATGGAGAGAGATGCTAGTTCATTATGAATACCCTGACGTTGAAATGTTTGACGAGGTTGCCTCCGGGATCCACCTTGCTGGTACCGCCCCTGCGGTGCCTGCATTTGATCCCTACTTCAACCAGCCCAGGTTTCCACTGAAGAGTTGGCCAACTCAGCGAAAGCATCCCGCATAGCCTTGTTGTCCACCGCCCGCTCAGCCGGTGACGCCGAGATTGATGCTACGGTGTACGGAAAGACCTTTGAGGGACCGAATTGCGGGTGGTTCTGGCCAGTTTGAAATGTCCCGTTTGCCAGACGAAGCCGTGGTCAGCAGGCGTTTTGGCAGCCGACAAAACTCAGGTGATGCCTCGAAAGCAAGGCCAATCGACGATTTTTCGACCTCTGGAGCGAATGACTCAGTACAGGTTGAGAACGCGACCAAGCTGCACACCTCGGACATTGCGGCTGCTCTTCGCCTTGAACTTTCGGGAGTGCCTGGAAACAACGCGTGGCTGGGAAAGACCTTTGGCCTTGCGTCAGCATACTTACACCTGGAAGTGGCGCCTGGCTCCTGTTGGGTTCCGTATACAGCAGTGGATGACCCCATTAAAAGTTCACCCCGCATTTTTGCAAGGCGTGCTCTCCCCTTCGGAGCAAGCCGGTCATTCTGTGGTTTCCTGCGTGAGGCGCACTCCCTAGGGTGGTTAGGATGGAAAGGGGAGTTTGAAATTGGCCTGGAGTAATTTCTTTGATGACTTCATAACGTTTGCCCGATGTCAAGAGGCGGGGATGGTTTCCGTTACGACCTTGCAATTTTTCACGCTCTTGGGATGGGGCGTATCGTTGGGAGAAAAGGGCCTCCCATTTGCAGACCGCTTCAAGGCCCTTGGAATAGAGATTGGCTGTACCAGGTGGCCGAAGGCTAAGGTTGCCTTCTCCAACACTGAGAAAAGGGTCACTGAACTCCTAGCTGCCATCGATTAAATACTGGTCACTAAGAGCTTGAGCAGACAAGCTGCTTTGGCTTCGAGTGGCAGAACGCAGTGGGCGGGGGCTCAGCTGTGGGGCAGATTGGCAAACCTGTGCCTGAGTGCCATCACCTCACACACCTTTCGCCCGGATTGTGGTGCCCTCAGTGTACGCACCCTGGCCTTCTTGCAGGTTTTCAGATGTCACATAGTGTGAGCCCGACCCCGAGTAATATCAGCTGATTGGAGCGCTCCGCTCTTCCTTTTCACCGATGCTTCCTTCTCGTATGAAGTTGAGGATTGGCCGGCCGGCCTGAGCGGGGTGCTAGTTGATTCCCAAGGGGTGCAGGTGTCAGTCTTCTCCTACAAACTTGCCGGTAAAGACTCAGAGGCACTGGCTTCACCCGGAAGACGACAGCCATCTTTGAAGCCGCGCTGTTTCCCCTTTTGGTCTCGGTAATGCCGTGGAAGAAATTCTTGAGAGGTCGCCCATGTGTTGCCTACATCGACAACGTCTTGATAAGAGGTGTTAGCATCAGTGGGATTGCTCGCATATTTCCTGGCAATAGCTTGTTAGGGAAACCGCTCGAAGTTGAAGACGCCGTTGGTATAATCTCCTGGTTTACCAGAGTTCTCTCTCAAAGCAACATTGCTGATGCACCCTCACGGGAATCCTTGGAGGGGCTGACAGTGAGCCCACTGTCACCACATTTGGTAGGCCTGGTTGTTGCTAAGTATCTAGATAACCTTGACCAAATACGGATAAGAGGGGGTATGACTCAGTAATGTGAATAATGTATGTGGCACCGACTGGCTGGTGCAAGTGCTTGGCATTGGAGCCGTCCGTTGGATCGAGCGGAGCCTGAATGAACGGATCAAGCCATGAGATCCAATGAATATACTATAGATGGCTACAGAAGGTTTTTCAAATGCTTGGCCAATGAGGCCTGTACCTGGACAACTCCCATCGTTGTCAAAGGAAAAAGTGTGCTGCGCGTTCGTTCAGACAGCAGTTGTTTGATGCATGGCAGTTTTTAGCTTTTGGTGTTTGTCGGTTTTGCACTTTTAAGTTTCCACAATGTAACAAGGAGGTATTGACTGGTAGGCGCCGTAAGCTGGACTTTAAGCTTACGGTCAACGTGTTAATAGTGCATTAAAGTACAGCTGAAGAAAAGTTTGTTAACAAACTTTTAGCCTACCAGCCTTGCCAGCAACCAATGCAAATCTCGCGGCCCTGCCTAAACCAGGCGCGCAAGATAAACACCTGTGCGCAACCTTAGGAATAATCCAACTGGATAATGCCTGTAACCTAATGGTTGCCCCAACCCTTAGGCGCAGCCGCGCAACACTGACTGTAATAACGTAGATGCCCGGCTCTTGGATACCGCACCTCGTATCCAAACCGTGTATTGCCAAACAACCTGCTGAGGCTTTGAGTGATTCAACCAAACTTGTCTTGCCAGTTTGATTTTGAGTTCGCAGTGTCTTTCCACAACATGTTTCCCCTTTCAGTTGGCAGTCAGAAAGCAGGTGAACTCATCTATCAAGTTGCCTTTTTGCTGCAAGGGAATTTTCGTGTCCCGCCCGTTGTACCAACTCCCACCCGGGATTTTCACAGCTGTTACACCAGCCGAACATAGTTGCTTTCGCTGTCCTTTACTAAGATTCAATCCTCACCTCGTTGTTGACAGTCCCCATGCAATCCGAGTTGACATTACTCGCAGCTGGCATCAGCATCGTGTTGCAATATATGAATTCCTCGGTACAACAAGCCAACCGTAGTGACTGGACTCTCAGGGCTTCGAGGTGTGAAACTATCGACGAAATTCTGAAAGCCTGCGCCATTTTGTTGGAGTGCTGCGGGCGCTCGGACTTCATGCGGCCTATTTACCACTTATGGACACTTTGCAGCAACGCAATGTTCTTGTTCGAGCGACAGTGGTGGCCCGAGCAACCTACGGAAACAAGGACACACATCACTACACCGCAGGTGCCTCTGAAATTATCGGCATTGCTACGGCCTGGATGGAGAGATCAACATCAGTTGGTCAGACTCGGGATGGCCTCCCTTGTGATTTTCCGTGATTGGTTTACAGTTGTTTTGATGCTCATTTGCACCAGGATGTCCTCAACATCGTGAAGGACTCCCTCCTGATCCTCCAGACCGCGGTCGACCTTTTCGATTTATATGAAGCAACTCATCCCCAGCCTACTGCTGCACTGCCTGATGTTGAGGACACCCCTGAGCCCTCCTCCACAGACCCTTCCGCGCCCACAGGCGGGGTATGACTCAGTGATGTGAATAATGTATGTGGCACCGACTGGCTGGTGCAAGTGCTTGGCATTGGAGCCGTCCGTTGGATCGAGCGGAGCCTGAATGAACGGATCAAGCCATGAGATCCAATGGATATACTATAGATGGCTACAGAAGGTTTTTCAAATGCTTGGCCAA